CGCAGCAGACACAGTGCTCACCCATCAGGCCTCTGGCTGTGGGTGGAGCACCCTGTTGTGGTTCTCCAGTGCCACTCTGACAGAAACATACCACAAACGGGATGCTTGAACAAACAGGAGTTTATTGTGTTACAGTTTTGGAGCCTTTAAGTCCAAGTGCAAAGTGCCAGGCTCTAGGGGCCTGTCTAGGGCCTGTCTTCACTCAGACAGCTGCTGGCTTCTGAGGCTGACAAGCCCAAGGTTGACAAGTAATAAGGCACAGTCCCAATGTTACCAAACAACATGGCAGGGTGCTAATTCAAGTCCAGATGAAGTCCCAGGATTGGCAGAGCATGGCAGCCTGCTGAACAACGACTCAGCTACATACAGGGTTCAAGCATGCCCTAAGACTAGAGACCATTCCCAAAGCTGCTGCTTATATACGAGAAGCAGACCACATCGCTAAAGCAGCTATTCAGCTGCTCCAATAGATTCCAAAATGGAGTTAATTACCAATCTCACCGTGGGGAACAACTACATTCAGCTGCCCAGCCACTTGATCAGGCCCAGCCAAGATGACGTACAATTTCCACACACCCCAAAACCTACCTCTCAGGTGAAGGGGTCAGGTTTTAGCAAGAGGGCAAGTAAAACTTAGAAAATTCTGGAAGAAGGTTGTGAGTTCCTTTTCCTGGTTTGCTGAGAGAACAGGAGGGAAGAGCTGCTGGTGGGGGCAGCGTCCCGGCCCTGGGCTGACCAGCCTTTGGTGCTTGGTGCTTTGGGGTCTTGCTTTCCCCCTCGCTGAGCAGGGCACCTGCACTCCGGGTTTGCTCGTTAGTGCTGGTTTGCACGGTTACCGTGGCATCCTGTCCGGTAAGGCTCTCGTCTGGGCATGATTGTCCCAGTGTGCCTGTGATCCAGTTGTCTTGTCTGTGGGCTGTGTTCTTTGCTAAGCATGGGTGCTGCTGCACTTACTTCACAGGTGAGCTGCCGTGGGAGTCAGCCAGGTAGCACAGCCACCCCTGCTGTGCTGGATCGTGGGGGGCTCAGCAAGGGTCCCAGCCCTCCCTCACTTCCTGGAGAGATATCGTCCACGCAGCATTATCGGCAGAGGGAGGGTGCACCTGGGAGCTGGGGTGCCCTCTCTGCCCTGTTGCTCTACCCTGGGGTGAGTGGGCTGCCTGAACCCAGCCTGCCCTTGCCCAGTGCAGAATCAATCCTGAACCGTCTGTGCTAAGGCTGGCCAGACTTCACGGGTGAGGGGGATAGCCCTCCTCAGACTGCCTCACTTCAGACACCAGCTACAAGTTTGGAGTTCTGAGGCCACTCTCACTTCTGACCAGCTGGCTCCAAATTTGGAGGCTCCATTACCCCCTCAGGTCAGAGAATTTGTTCCAGCTTCTCCCAGGGCTCAGGAAAGTGCTCGACCAAAGAATGAAGAAAAGCAAAGACACATGGAAAAACTTAGTCCAAGGGACTGGTAGACCATGCGATCCTCAGCTTGTATGACCGTGAGACCTGAAGAACTAGATGGTGCCCAGCCACCACTGTCAACCACTCAGGGCAATTGGTACAGGAGATCCTGGATAGAGTGAGAGAACAATGTGGAACAAAACCCAAAATCATAAAGAAAAAAAAAAAAGACCAGGTTTACTGGTCTGATAAGAGCCTGGTGAGACCCCTTATACCCTTCAGGTCTGGAACTGAACTCGCTCCTGTGGCTTCCAGCCAAACAACAGACAGGCAAAGGGGGGGTGGACTTTTACATCAGGTAGATACGCTCCTTGTAGAGGTCAGTCGTAGGAGAACAGAAGGGCAGTGTTTGCACAGGGGGACAGCTCGGGGCGGGAGTGCAGGGAGGGAAGGACACAGGGAACGGGTAACCACGGGGAGGAAGTGGGAAGAGAGCTGTTACATGGTGGGAAATAGCAGCCAGTGTCCTGAGACAAAGGTGTATGAACTGGTGCATGGAAAATGAGTTTGCTCTGTAAACATTCACCCAAGTCACAATAAAAAGTCTAAAAATAAAAAAAGTGCTTGACTGAGACTTATAGTCTTACTACAGCCATTAGGGACAAAGCCAAGCCACCAAAGGACAGCCCTGGGGGCGAGGTCTGGGAGGGTCCTCTGCCGTGGAGTCGGGACTGGCCGCCTGGCTGCCTCCCAGAACTGCACGCCGAGTTCTGCCGGCCAGGAGACCCATCTGAGCCCCCTGTCCACAGTTCCTGTTGGCCCTCATGCTGGCTTGCACGTGACCCCTGCCCTGTAGCCGGGTGCCGAGTCCAGCACGTGGAGGGTTTCCTGGCATGGCCAGCTCCCATCCTGAGTCACCTCAGCAGTATAAACCGTTCAGGGCAGTCACAAGTAGCAAGGACTCTCGGTCACCCGGGGAAGTCCCAGGGTTTAAAGGCTCCTCCTGGGACTGGGACAGGCCCACCCAGCGCATCGGGTCAAGCGGCTCCTTCAGCCTGCCCGTGCCGCTTCCTGTTACAGCTATGTCTACTGGACTGAGTGGGGCGGCAAGCCGAGGATCGTGCGGGCCTTCATGGACGGGACCAGCTGCATGACTCTGGTGGACAAGGTCGGCCGGGCCAACGACCTGACCATCGACTATGCCGACCAGCGCCTCTACTGGACCGACCTGGACACCAGCATGATCGAGTCATCTAACATGCTGGGTGAGGCACCGGTGTCCCAGGGCCCAGGGCATGTGTTCCGCGATGGGAGCCGGGGGCAGGGTGGTGGCCTACAGGGTTGCGGTTCCCCGGCCTGCCGCCTCTCAGCCCTGCCACGCTGGGCCCCTGTGGCCTGCCAGCCCTTCACCCGTGCAGGACGCGTGGACACGTTCTGTGAGTGCAAACCGCTCAGTAAGTCTCATGCAGCCTGGGGGTTTGTCCCCTTTCAATTAAAATCATTTGAAAATATTTTTCATTTTGAAAATTTTCTTATTTTCTATTTTTGAACGATAAACTTTACTAATTATTGAAGTATAGCATGTGTGCAGTAAAGCGCCAGAATCTTAGGGGGGTAACTTGAATCACTTTGACACACGTACATACGTGTACCTCTAACCCATGGAGCTCAATTGTCAAGTTGTGGACGTTTCCAGCTCCCTGGAAGACTCTCTCGTGCCCCCACCTGGTCAGTCACACCAGCCTCCTGGGAAGTAACCTGCCCAGACTTGTTAATTTTGGTGTTCTAGAACTTTCTATAAATGGGGTCACACAGCAGGTGCTTCTTGGAGTCTGCCTTCTTTGACTCAGCCTAATGACAGAGCCATGCACACGGTTGTCATCCTTGGTCACTGCCTCATTGTTTCCTCCACACGGAGGAACCACCGTGGGTGTATCTGTTCCGCCGTGGGTGGACAGCTGGGCTGTGGCCATCACAGAGCTGCTGTGAGCACCCTGAGTGTGGCGTGCATTTCTGTTGTGTCGACTCCCTGGACACTAGCTTTGGTCAGTGTGGCCAGTTATCCAAAGTGATAGAACACTTTAAAACTTAGACGTGGCTTGCCAGGTGTTTTAGTTTCCTGGGGCTACTGTACCAAAGGGCCACAAGGTGGGTGGGTTTAAAAAAAAGTCAGAAATGGTTTGTCTCACTGTTCTGGGGGCTGGACGTCTGAGCCAGGGTGGTGGCTCTGAAGGGACAGTCCTTCCTCCTGGCAGCTGAGCCATCTCTTGGCTGATAGCTGGTCCTCATGTCATCGCTGTCTGTGTCTGGTCTGCTCTTCTTAGAAGACATCCCTTAGAAGGGAGTGGTTCAGGACCCATCCTACCCTGGGTCCCTGGGTGGAACAAACAGGTTGAGTGCCCGACTACTAGCTTAAAGGTTGGTGGTTCAAACCCACCCAGAGACACCTGGGAACTTAGGCCTGGTGATGTGCCTCCGGAAAACCAGCCATTGAAAATCCTGTGAGCGCAGCCCTACTGTGGGCACTCTGGGTCGTCGAGAGTCAGAGGAGACTGGACGGCAGCTGGCAGCTATGCTGGTCCGGCCTCATTGACGTAAGGAGAGAAGGCCCCTGTTCCCAAACAGGGTCGCGTGCAAAGGGTCAGGGGTCAGGATTGCAATGACACTTGTTGAGGCCACCGTTCCGACCCTAACATGAGGCTGGAAGGGCGCACCGGCCGGCCCGCCACTGATGCCGTGCCCCGTGTCCCCCGCAGGTCAGGAGCGCGTGGTGATAGCCGACGACCTCCCGCACCCCTTCGGCCTGACGCAGTACAGCGACTACATCTACTGGACTGACTGGAACCTGCACAGCATCGAGCGGGCTGACAAGGCCAGCGGACGGAACCGCACCCTCATCCAGGGCCACCTGGACTTCGTGATGGACATCCTGGTGTTCCACTCCTCCCGGCAGGACGGCCTCAACGACTGCGTGCAGAGCAACGGGCAGTGCGGGCAGCTGTGTCTTGCCGTGCCCGGCGGCCACCGCTGCAGCTGTGCCTCCCATTACACCCTGGACCCCAGCAGCCGCAACTGCAGCCGTACGTGCCTGGCTTTCCCCTGCGTCTCACCCCACGCTGTGCACGGGTGGGCGGGCGGGCTGTGCACTGCGCGAGCTGCGTGGCGCTCCGTGGCGGGCTGGGTGCAGGGCCTGCCGCTCCTTCAGCACACAGGAGGGCGGGCGGAGCCCTGGGCTGACGGGTTCCACACGGGGCTCTTTGGGTCTGGGGGGAGGGCACTCACTCACAGCCAGACACTGCTTCCTTGCCACAGGAGCTCAGTTATCCCTCACCCTATAACACAGGGAGTGTCAGTGTCCCCGCTTCACAGCCGAGACTTGAGGCACAGAGACGCTGAGTAACCTACCTAAGGGCACACAGCTCGTGCATGGAGGGCCAGGTTGCGTGTGGCCTCTCACAGTGCCCGACAGCAACTCGAATCCTCAGTCTGACCCTCTGGGTTTGCTGGGCCTTTTGTTCCCATTTCAGTGACAAGCAGAGTGAGGTTCAGAGTCAGGGCAACTTCCCACGGGCCTGCAGGCTGTACCGATGCGTCCTGGTGACAGCCTCCTCTCCTGTGACATAAGCTTCCTGTTCTTGTCGGTACTGCCGAGTTGATGGCGGGTCACGGTGACCCCACGCGACAGAGTGGAACTGCCCCATTGGGTTTTCCAGGCTGTCGTTGTTGTGGAAGCAGGTTGACAGGTTTCTCTCAGGGGAGCTGCTGGGTGGGTTCAGACTGCTGACCTCTCAAGTTAGCAGCTCGGCACTTAACCCTTGCTGCACCAGGGCGCCGTGTGACATCAGCGGGGAATCGTAATTCAGCCTCTGCGTGGCACTTAGCTGCTTACAGAGCTTGTTGCTGTCCGAGGCCTTGCCTGCGCCCCAGCGGCCCCGGGGTCGGCAGCGCTGGTCTGATTCACCCCAAGTGTGTCGATGAGGAAAAGGGCTCGGCAGTGTTAAGGGGCTGGATTGGGACTCTGCGGCCAGTGCGTGGTGGGCCAGGACCTGGGCCCACCCCCCACCTCTTGAGCTGCCCCTGGCCCTGTTGTTTCCTGCCCAGGGAGGGGCCGTGACCTTGAAGAGTCTAGGGGAGGTGCAGGTCAGCAGCCCCGGAGGCAATCAGGGCTGCTTGGTGTCCTCCTCCTGCCACGCCCAGCAGACCTGGGTGATGACGGGTTTCTAACTGTCCCTCTGTGACCGTCGGACAGTGACTGCAGCAACTGCGTGGCTTCCAAATGTCCCCAGTGATGCAGCTTAGAAACCCGGGCAGCTTGGCTTGAGTCTGTAGACCTGTGTGTTCTGCCACGAGGGAGGATCCCGTATTCCTGGGGAGCAGCAGGCAGCCCCCGGCCTTCCTGGGGTCAGGGCCCACAGCTGCTCACGGAGGCCCCGAGGGGTGTCCTCTCCTGGTGACACAGCTGCCCTGTTCTGCGCCAGGTGGTTCACTCAAGCACTAGAGGTGCAGAGCCTGTGACAGACGTGAGGCCTCGTGACTGTGCCGGCGTGAGTCTGAGGAGGACTCTATCACCCTCTTTCTGTTTAAATCTTCGTGGTTTAAAAATAAACGTGTCTGTTTCAGAACTAGCACACGTACTTGTAAAATACTCAAACCGCAGAGCAACCTCACACGGAGAGCACAGCTCCCCAGAACACCCCCCCAAGGGGCTGATGTCCTTCTGGTCTTTCCCCCCACACGGCTCACGCGTGCAGATCCGGGTCTTGGCAGATGCCGTCTGTCGTCTGTCTCTGCTTCTCAGTGCTGCAGGAACGGCAGTACCTCAAGTGGAAACGGAAGTGGATCCTGTCACAGTTTAGAGGCTGCAAGTCTGAATTCAGGGCGCCCCCTCTAGGGGAGGCGCTCTCTGCTCCCTCTGGGGAAGGTCCTGGTCTCGGCTTCTGTAGCCCTGGTGTTCCTCGGTCCCTCGATGACGAGGGCGTGATGTCTGTCTGTCCACCGTCTTGTCTGTGTGTGCTGCTCCATAGCCCTCAGGATGGGTTAGCTTCAGGACTCCCTACACTGGCTGTGAGGATGGCGTGGGGCCATGGGGTGTTTCCTCCTGGTGTGTGTGGGGTCACTGTGAGTCAGAAGTGACCCGACAGCACCTGATAGCAGCACACTGATCGGGCCTCATTCATGTGACAAAGAAAGGCCTATTTCCAAGTGGGACTACATCCACGGGTTTAGGGGCAGGACTCCAGCACGCATTTCAGGGAGACAGGTTTCAGTCCAGATGCTGGCCAACCCACCGGCTCCCCCTCCGGCTTCTGGCTCTGACGCACAGCCGCCCTGATCTCTTTGCCTCTCTCCAGCACCCACAACCTTCTTGCTGTTCAGCCAGAAATGCGCCATCAGCCGGGTGATCCCCGACGACCCGCACAGCCCGGACCTCATCCTGCCACTGCATGGGCTGAGGAACGTCAAAGCTGTCGACTATGACCCCCTCGACAAGTTCATTTACTGGGTGGATGGGCGCCAGAACGTCAAGCGAGCCAAGGATGACGGCACCCAGGTAGGGGCGCCCGTTGAGGGGCCGTGAGGGTCGCAGGTAGCCCATCCCGCTGCTTTCCAAGCTGCCCACCCTCCCTAATTTTTTGCTATTAAAAACAAAACAAAATCTATTGTAAAGAATATTTTGGAAAATACCA